ACCCGTGTGCACGAGTCCTGGCCGTTCGTCGTTTCGTGGTTCGGTCTATGGCGGCAGAGCCCAGTTTTATAATTGTTTGTGGAGCGGCTCTAACGCTGGCTCCAAGGAGGAGTGTTGAATGTGCACTGCCTCCGACCGATGTTTTCTTCCTTTCAAGGCATGTGTGAAGTAGGCCTGCAAGTGCCTAGGACTTCCACACGTCAGTAGGTTCAACCTAGACGAATGCCAACGGCATGTTCGTAGGGAACCGTACAGACAGCGTGTTGTGTTAGTGAGGAAAAAGGGTTGGAGAGTTGCATGGCCCTCCGTGAGCCCCTGGTTTCTTCGCTGCACAAATCGAGAAGTGTACCAACCTGGAATCGGCTGGGAAAGCCGCGACGATCTTTCAATAATAATAAGGATCCTATTATTTAGGGTCTATATTAGGGTCCCCTATTTTCGGAAACCCCCAAATCACAGCGACACTACCGTCGCTGTGCAGGCAAGGCTGTCTAATGCAGGGGCCTTGACAATTAAAACAGGGTTTTGGGAGTTCCTTATTATAATTATAGTATGATATACCCCCCAAACCTTATTCTAATTATTAAGGCCCCTAACCCTTATAGTAACCCTTTAAAGGAGCCCTATTCTAATGATTAAGGATATTAAGGAGCCTACATTAAGCTGCGAGAGGGTGCAGCAACGAAGGCTCCCCTAAACCCTAAACCCAAAACCCTAAAACCCCCTAAACCCAAAACCCCCCTCACACCCAAAACCCCAAAACCCCAAAAAACCCAAAACCCAAAACCCCAAAACCCCAAAACCCTAAAACCCCAAAACCCCAAAACCCTCAACTTCACCCAACGGGGCATCGTCCGCCTCGCCGGTGAAGAACGAGGCCAGGCCTTCCTTCTCCGAGTTCATGGCTGGGGTAGAATTAAAAATTTAATTTTCTATTCCTTATTGGGTTAGGGTTTAGGGTTTAGGGTTTAGGGTTTAGGTCTTAAAAATGTAAAAAGTTGACCTTTAAGGTCCTTCTCCGAGTTCAGGTACTTCCGAAGGTTCCTCGGGCCCAGGGCTTCGGGCTTTAGGGCTTTTGGGGTTTCGGGTTCTTTGGGGTTTTAGGGTTCTTTGGGGTTTTAGGGTTCTTTGGGGTTTTAGGGTTTTGGGGGTTTTAGGGTTTTGGGGGTTTTCGGGTTCTTTACGGTTTTGGGGGTTTTGGGGTTTTAGGGTTCTTTGGGGTTTTAGGGTTTTACGGTTTTGGGGGTTTTGGGGTTTTAGGGTTCTTTGGGGTTTTAGGGTTTTAGGGTTTAGGTTTGAGGATTTTAGCATTTTAGGGCTTAGGGTTTAGGGTTTAGGTTTTAGGGTTTTAGGGCTTAGGGTTTAGGGCCCAACACAGAGGCCTGCCTCAGGCAGCAACCTCCCGAGATTGTCTTTCAACACGGGCTCGTTCCAGGCACATGAGTGGGATTCCGTGGGAGAAGTAGCACAAAACTGAAGTGTGTTGTGCTTTCAGGCGCCTCTCACTGCAACACCCGAAGCACCCTCAAGCCCCTCAAGCCAAACCTGCCTTCCTCGCAATCCGCTTGCCGAACCACTAAGAGCTTCGAAGCTGCAGACCCAAGGCCTCTGGCAGCAGAACAGTCTGCAGCCGAGCGTCTCAAGCAATGCCACAGGGTTTAGGGTTTAGGGTTTAGGGTTTAGGGTTTAGCATCCAAGCGTCTCAAGCAATGCCAGCTGAGTCCCGGAGATGTGCAAGGACTTGTCCAGGTCGCAGACCCTCTCAGTCAGAGACAACTTGGACGTCGCGTCCTTGGCACAAGATGGAAGCTTCTAAGGTGACACGACAGGCAATGTAGGGGCCTCAAGAATTAGAATAGGGGTTTGGGGGCCCAATACCCTATAACTCTAAGAAGGAATCCCCCAAAATAGTATTGGTAAATAATTA